ATATATATATATATATATATATATATATATATATGCTATTCATTGTAAAAGAGTTCCGCTAAAGATGACTCTGAGAAATAATATTTCTTGCTATTACTGCACTGTGTGTCACCATCTTATTTCAACGGAAAAGATCCGTGTTAAATGATAGTTTTAAAATAGACTACAGACGAAATGTAGCAATTTTCAAATAAAGTAAACGCAGTTTCAGCACCTATTTGGGCCATAGGGTCTGTGCGACACGCACAAGCAGCTAATATTTTGAACATCCCCATGACAGATAAATTAAAATGAATATACTGCAGAAGTAATAGAATAAGTGCAATGCTGATTTCGTTTCCTCCCCGCTTTTTCTACATATACGGTAACTGGTATTTCAAAGAACCATCCAGCAAGTACTTGAAGGAAATTGAGTATATCCTTTACTGTGGGACTTTTTTACCAATTTACCAATACTGTTCTTAAAATTGCAGCAGCGTTTCAAACAAAGTAAATCAGGCTTTACCGTTTCAGAAATAATACGCAATGAGCCAAAAATTCCGCAAAAATCCCTGAAGTTAAAGGAGTGTGCTTCCCCGAGAGCATCCTCTCAGAGAACGTAGTACCATCGTTCACTTGCTGTAATAAGTGCCGTTTTGCGTATAGTCGCGATAGCTTCTAAAAGAAGAAATATAGAATGTACTTGTCCTTTAAGATTTCTAGAATGTACTCCAGTGCCGTAATTTCAATATAATAATATTAATTAGAAGGATAAGGACTTCAGGAACAACAGAAGATATATCCAAACTAAATGCCGTCAGGATCCTGAATTTTGTCATGTTATTCAGACCAAAAAAATACGCCCTTTGAAGTGTGACTGTTTGAAGCAGAAGACGGTACATGCGCCCTCTGCATTGAAGTTTACTTGTGCACAAAACCATTTCAAAATCTTCAACTATGTGACGTGAATCATGCGAAAGAAATCGTTTTTGGAGCGTCCTCAAGGAAATTCTGTTTCTCACTCAACTGTCTAAAAAATTTTATTCAAGGTTTCTCCTTTAAAGAGAAATAGAGTTTTGTGAACTGAGTCAAATTCCTAATTTTTCAACTTTAATTACTCTGTATAGGAAGCTAAAATGTAATGTTGACCTGTAAACGACGACAATAGAAGCAATAGTAAAAAAACCCCAGTAACTTTTTTGCAATATTCAATCCGTGGGACGTTTAAGCAGCTTTTTCAGATTCGACTAATAAGCATATCGCAATAACCAACACGCTCGCTTCTAAACTTTAAGTTTTAGTCCGCAAAACCGCTCTCCCCAGGAGAACCCTTCCGGTTTCTATTCATTTTCCCTCCATTCTAAATCACATTTTTTACACTTCAAGTTACTTTCACAAAAAGTGGCTTCTACGCAGAGCATCGTTACTAGGCCTTTGCTCGCTTTTACTTTTTAAAGTAAGAATCTTTGCTTTTTAAAGAATAGCAACGAAATAAATCGCTTGAATAAAGTAATTCAAACCGTACGTTTTTATTCACATTAGTGCCTTCTGCTACACGGAAGAGGAGGCTATGAAAGAGGCAGAACAACAAAATAATCCCAGAAGACTTGACCACCTAAATGACAATCCTTGTTTAAACCGTACTTCGGTCAAAAATTGTAGATGCCTCGAATAATACTCCAAATTCACGCTTTACAAAAAAGGCATGTTTTAAGCCATGCAAAAACGCCCAGGCATGGAGACCTCGGATTCTCCAAAACAGATAGTTTCAAAAACAATTTGCTGTGAGGTAGAATGCTACAAACATAAGTAACTTGGCCAGACAAACAATTGAAATATACCTTAGGCGGCGCAATGCCTGTTCTACTGAAAAATGCTACTATTTCACGAAATTGCCAGGAGAGATATAAAACAAATTGTTTTTGTTCAAAAATCAAATTTAATGTCCATCTGTAAACTTCCAGAACGTAAAGTGCCAGAAGAGATGCAATTTTCATCATTCAAAAAATAAGACACGTACAGTACAGCCTAGAAATTCAACAAAAAGTTCCTACTGGCATAAAAGTCTATAACACAAGACTTAAAATTTGGAAGGAATATAATGCGAATCAGACTCAATGAATTGCCCATAAAAAATTTAAAACAAACCAAGAAACCCCTAACACAAAACAGAAATCATCAGGTATCGAGTAAAACTTCGTCCACGAATAAAAATGCTTGATTTCATAACAAACAACTTTCAACAGAAATTTAGTTAGTCACTGTACCTAACGCATCAGATTCTGTACTGAAACTTATTTCAACGATTAAGCATTACGCTACTACTCCGTTAAAAAATAACGAATAATAATTGTCAACAAAAACTTTTGCCACTTGATCACGTTCAGCAGCAAGACTAGTTCTGTAAATCCAAAGAAAGCAAAAAACCCATTGCAGCAATAGAAGCCAGCCATCGCTCGACAAATTCAATACGAGCAGAAACAGATAAAACTTACGCAAAAATACAACGTAACCAGCACTGTAACTACCAAAGTAAAATGACCTTACTCATTAAAATCAATACTTTGGTAGTCAGCAACCACAGAAGAAATAGCTTGATAGAAATCCAGAAAAAAACAAAGGCAATATTTAAAACAAGACAGCTTTTTTATGTTCGTTTACACCCGCAAAGAGCTTTGAAAGAAATGTAGCAGTTCCAGGACGGCTAATTAAGATAAATCAGCAACACGATGACCACCTTGATATACTAGTAGTGCCTTGCGATAATCTGAATGCTTCAGCTTGGAAATCTAAGTGCGAACTTTCATCATACTGCTTTTTTAACTCGTATGCCAATTCGTAGAAAGCATGATCAACATTCAAGTTAATTTTAGAAGATGTCTCCATAAAAAAGCACATCCCCTCTCTTTTAGCTAACGCTTCTCCCTCCTCCTGAGAAACTACTCGTCCATCTTCTAAGTCGGCCTTCGTTGCTAAAAAAGTTCTATATATGAGATAAGGAACTGTGACTTTAGATTGGCAGTATATACTACTACTAAAAGTAAAAAGTTTACATAACACAAACGATGAAAACAAATTAAATACTCCGCTGAATATAAATCATGACATACATCTCGGACGTGAAATCCAGTTGTGCAACGGAATATATTTGTGGTCATTATTTACTGAAGGGCATTTCATATTGAAAAGTATTATTAAAGAAAAAAATTTTTTGGTATAATTACCGATCAGAACCTTTGCTACATTTGGTGCTGCAAACTTTGTGACGTCTTCGATCCATCTGTCAAGCGACTCAAACGACTGTCTGCATGTTATGTCGTAGCATAATATGATGCCATTCGCTGACCTGAATGTAATTAAAAAAAAACATGATTTCGGGTAGTGGTCTCTGGCGCAGATGAACAAGTACAGAGAACTTTCTATTTTTGTCTCGGGAAGTCAGTAGCTATTGATGGTAAAAAGAGGATCAAAAGTGTTCAACTGAAATTATCATCATCAGAGTGACCTAGACAAAATATTGAAAAATATTACAGAAATCTTGCAAAAACTTTAGAGTCATAAGCAACACTTTGAAAAAATACATCCAAAAAAAAATTCGCGAAGGCTTCCAGCACTAATATATGACTTCTAGTACCGTCGAAAATATAAACAAAACCAGATGACACAGTTTGAAGAAAGAAAAAATTTTATAACTTGTCCGGTAAATTTTTTTTGACTGACATTAACTCCTTATGACAAGACTTTTACATTGGTTCGTAAACAGTGTTACACATCTCAGAAATTATCGCTTTCCAAAAAGTTGAAATGTTTTAAGCAAAAAATCTTTGTTAGAATAAACGTGTACTAACAAGAGGATATAGTAAGAGTTAATTATTTCAATTTACGTTTCGTTGGCAACAATATATAATTCTAACTTTTTTGGCATTAATTGGCACAGCCGCGCACCAACGCGATCGAGTGCTTTTTATTCCTTATTCAAAATGCTCCAAATTCTGAATCTTCTGCAAATACACAAAACTTTTATAAAATCCTACAAAGAAAAATCTGGAGGGGAAAGGATACAGGCTTTACGCTCACTGGATACCATTTGACAGGCCCTCGCCATTCATTTCTTCACAGGGTAAATTGTGATAAATCTGCACCTCACTGCCTGAAGTAGCGAGCTACAGTCCCACCACAAATGAAGACAAAACCCTATTTTATTGCCAGAGAAACCGTTTCAGGCTGCAGCTTCACCACGCTGCTACCCTACGACAAAAAATTAGAAAAGATTAATAAGACTACCAGAAAGTGTTTAGAAATGCCAGCCTTTTCCGAGTTCCGTTTAAAAGGCACTTAGCACTCTAACTAAAATACCTTTGAGAAGTAGTTTTTTGATCTGTCGACCACGACTTGTGGAAGATACCACACATAAATGAACAAACTCAGTCTTCCATCAAATGCTGAATTAGCCAACACAATTACTAAGTTTTCAACGGAGGATATAAAATTTGCAGGAACTAAAAAAATTGATCCCCGTGTAATAAAAAAAAGTAGTGTCAACAAAATATCTATAAAATACCCCTAACTCTAATGGCAAGAATACTCCGATAAAGAAGGAACTAAAAAATAATACAATAATCAGTAGAAAGTGAAAATAGCAAATAGATCACAAAAACATTAAGAGTTCGACATAACAAATTTAACAAGTACAACTTCTTCAAGTTGTATAACCTAACAAGTAATCCAAAGAACCAGTAATTCAAAGCTTTCTGGTGGAACTTCAGAAACAGTGAAAAATAGCATTACTCTGCATTAAAAGAAAACCTTTCTTAATTAATTTGCAGTATTTGAGCTTTCAAAAAAAGAACATGTAATAATCTGCAATAAAAAATTTACGCCCAGATCCATTACCTGTTCGAAACCATGAAACTGAACCTAAAGTTTAACAAACAACACAACGATTCAAAATTAAGCGAAATTTTTAGTTGTTACCAATAATGAAGTTTTGATTTAGAGTGAAATCGATTTCGAAAATTTAAACGTTGACATCGGTCAAAAATATATTGTTGATAGAGCTTTATAGGCATTCAAACTGTATTGCAAAATTTGCTAATAAAGGGTTAAGTAGTCCCTTAGCGTTTTTTTATGGAAAAACAAGATATAAACGTATAAAGTGGTGAAAAGTGATTGCAGAAATTAATCAAAAGAAGCACAATAAACTTCATTCGTTTAAAGAAACTAGCAAGCACCTTTTGCGCAACCATCCTCGTCAAACCAGTAAGATGTCCTACTAAGAAATCATAAAATACATGGGGAAAAGAAATTGGTGGTAAAGATGGCAGTATTCTACCTGTAATAGCTTTGTGTTATGGTTCGAAACCTTTCCTGTCCGCCAGTATCCCAGATTTGCAACTTCACCCGTTGTCCGTCAACATTCATTGTTTTCATGGTAAAGTCAACACCGATAGTGGTTCCTTGACGTTCAATAAAAGTGTAGTTTTTGAACCTACAAGTGATAAGAATAAGTGATGCATTTGGTAACATGAAACTGTAGAATTGATAAGACAAGAACCAGGACGAAACAACTTATCAAAACGTGCTAAAACCTGCGATAGATTATATATATATATATATATATATATATATATAT